CTCCTGCCGTAGCTTCTGTGGGTCGGTCGGCTTGTGGTGATGCATGTTACTGTATACACGAGTCTAAGGATAAGGAATGTGATAGAATGAGGGAGAGAGACAAGAGAGGGAGGGAGGGAGGAAGGGAGGGAGGGAGGAAGAGAGAAGGAGGAGGAGAGAGAGGAGAGAGAGAGAGAGAGAGAGAGAGAGGAGAGAGAGAGAGAGAGAGAGAGAGAGAGAGGAGAGAGAGAGAGAGAGAGAGAGGAGAGAAGAGAGAAAGAGAGAGGCAACAGACGAGAGGAGGCGGCTAGAGAGATGTGTTGCTGTACAATGCAATGGACGTGAGACGGCAGATGGCGAGCTGCGAAAACAGGAGACCCGGGACAGGAAATGAATAAGGTCGTGTGGGAGGAAAGACGGATGTGGAGACAGGATAGAAAACCGAGAACAAAAACTCTCAAAATTAGCATACCAAAGCGAACTTGACATGAGACTGTCACCGGCACAAACACCACACTGTCGGTGCCGCCCGGAAGTCACTGGTTGGCGACTTGGCGTGCATTTTGTGACAAGTGACAATGGCGTGTGGGCTGTGGAAGCGCTCCTACTAGCGCGACACTCAAGCGAGGTGGATCAACGGAACACAACATACCCAGAAGGACGAACACAAAATACCCAGAGCAGCGCCCTTTGATGCCTACGCATACGACTGACCAGTAAATAAGCCGTCGAAGCACGGAATAAGTTCGATATATTAAGCTGGACATATCATTTAGGGGCAATATATTGTATTCAGGCATTCATATGCCTGAATACAATATATTCATATATCTTCTCGATATGCCAGCAAACATTTTCATCAACAGCAGACCCAGGCCTCCATGTGCTGCTTCCACGAAGCCAGTGCAGCGATCTGCATACGTTTATACCTAATCATTAGCGCGGTTCCCATTTGGGTAGGACGGCCCCGAGCGAGTATAAGCGCTGAACTGCAGGGCAGACTGATACGTGGGTGGTGTCACAAAAACGGACGCCGCGGTAGTGCAATAGGAATGACACATCAATATGCACCACACGTGTTCGGCTAATGGGGGACACCGGCACAACATACCAAGGTTCCCATGGCCCCGTTGGTGTTCCAGATCAACATTAGCTGTATTAACTGCAAGCATTGTGAAATGATTGTCCCAAAAGTCCCATAATTCTTCATTAGGTATCTAAAAGGGAGGGGCTCTTATGAAACTTTCAGTCTTCAAGAGCTTATCATGCAATGAAAATTTTGAATTTTGAAGTCTTATCTCATCTAGAAACAAAGCATCATCCATAGACCATCCTCCATGTATACAGAGGTCTATGCATCAAATACAGTAACGGCTATTTACTCTGCTTATAGGACAAGTATCGGTAACGACCTACCCACCCGTAAAAAAGAGAGCTACTTATCATCCGTACTTATCATCCGTACCTATGAGCTGGGACTCAGTCTGGCCTGCCAGCCCTGGTGATGCTGACCTAATGTGACCTGATTCCTTTATAGGATCTGTTCCCTCAGGTCATACTGTGTCCCCCTAGCGCCTTGAAGAAGCGACCGTCCGAATGACATCAGACCGTATCAAATTGCACCGAGCGCGATCGTATGGCGTGCGAATCGAATTACATGGAATCGCCACAAGACAGACACCGCGTGCGCCCGAGCCTCGCAGCCTGACGGGAGCACTGTCAACTGTCAACTGAGCTGTCAGTACATGTCCACGCGCAGCGTCGTCCCCTGTCCTCTGCCTGGGTGATCCCACTGTTCCCCTGTCAGACCGACAGACTCACCGACTACCAGCCGTCAATGTTATGACAGGACGCGACATCCCCTCAACCAGCAGGCAAGGAGACCTCCCTCTGTCCTGTCCGTTCCCTCCCCTACCCCTCCCCGCCTGAGTAACCACTAACCAGCCCGGCTGCCGCCCTCGCCCCACCCCCCGCCCCCCCCCCCCGCCGCCGCCGCCGCCGTCGCCGCCGCCCACGTCTGCTCAGTGCAGCAGACGGCCTCACAGGGGCGTTACGTGGCTGCCTGATACCATCATCCGAGCCACGCGCGCCAAACTGGCTCCAACCGACCGCGGCCACAAGCCGGGCCGGCCAGCTGACCAGACCGGACGACTGAATCAGATGATCAGGCGCACATGCGAACATACAGCTTGCCAAGTGGACGGACCGACGGACGAACGGACGATCGGACGGGGGACGGACGGACAGATGGACGGACGGACGGACGGACACGGACGGATGGACGGACGGACGGACGGACGGATCAGATGGTACGCAGGACGGATAGACGAGCGAGTGGGTAGAGATAGACCGATGGACGGATGAACAATTCAGGGCATGGACAGATGTATGGATGGACCGAAGGATACGGGAGTGAGTGACTTTTTCGCCATGTAAAGGTTGGTCTCAAGGAAAAGTTGACCTCCGAAGTATGCTGCCATTTTTTATGCATCAAATCGCTGTCCAATGTCCATCTCACGAGCGTTCAGGGCCACAGACATAGTGTGAGATCAGATCGTTTGGTCGAGAAGACGGAAGACCTCTTCATTCGCCTCACAGGAGATTAGCAGACCACTGCGTGGGCTAACACCCGACGACCAGCCGCGACCCAAACAACCCCAGCTTTCCCAATATGCAGATATGTTTACGACTTGTGGCCATACTCATGAGCAGCTATCTCTCGCTGAATCTAACCAGCCTGACTCTCGACTCGAGTCACTCAATCGCGACTAGAATCTCTGAGTATTGACTCGGCTGGACTCAGCAGCGAGGTGGACGGGTTGAGCGGGACGGGGAGAGTCAGGCGCACCGCTCGCCCAGTCCGGCCGGCGCCTCAGGGCGGCGGCGATGCCCGAATACGAGAGTGGCTGCTGTAGCCAAGCCGGCCGTCTTCACTAAGGCGATTTGTCACTGGCTGGCCGGTTATGGTCTGGGGTGACATGGACGCCGGCGCGACACAGCGCACGAGCTGCCGACCTCGGCAGTGATGGAGCCCGTGATACGCCGGTGTAAGGCAGCGCGATGTGAGGGGAGCTGCTGCTGTGGCGCTGCTGTATTGCTAACTGGGGTGCGGCGCCAGGAGGTCAGCTAATGTTGTGGAAGCTCTATTGTAGCTCCACTGTAGCTTCTATGGCTTTGGATTCAACTGCAGTAGTGAAGTGGCATGTGACACAACCGAGAGTCCATGAATAAAGTGCCGTCACGAAGCTACGGTAGGAGATACAGTGATGGGGTCACATGTTTCGCGGTAAAATCAGGCAATAAATGTCACGATAGTATGGACGGAGACGGAGAGTCAAGATGACGGGTCACGTTTCAACCGCTACCGAGGTAGCTCTGGAATGGTGATGTCAACTCATGCAACCATTCATCTCGTGACTAGTTACTGCACCATGAGACCAGCGTACTGTCACTGGTCACTCAATCACTCTGCAGGTACTCACAGAATAGTAGTCGCCTCGGGAACCTGCGGCAGCTGTCTCAGGCCCAGGAACATGCAGCGCACCGTCGTCCGGAAGCAGAGGCATCTCGGCGGGCAGTCGCTCTGCGCTCGGACGGCCGTCAGCGCCGCGGTCACTGCCAGCGTCCACAGCAGCGCTCGCCTCTCCGCTCCTCATGGTCACACACTCGAGTCGGCGCTCGGTCGTCTCACCAGCCGTCGGCAGCGACTCGCATCGCCACCGACACCACTGCCACCACCGGCCCTCCGCGGTCCGTGGCACGGGCCGCACGGGAGACTCGCGCGCGCGGCGGTGCAGTCTCCCCCGCACAGCACACACACAGCCCCCACCGGCCTCCCGTCGGCGACTGCGGACTGTGGTAGTTGAGGTGCCGGCGAGCGGCGCAGCCGGCAGGTGGCGGCCGGGCTGAGCTGCTGACAGAGCCATCTGTTGGCAGAGAATAAAGTGGGGGAGGTGAGGTGAGGGAGGTGTACGGAAGTGAGAGAGGAGAGGGAGAGGTGGGTGAGGTATACGGGGAGGGGAGTGAGGTATACGGGGATGGGTGAGGTATACGAGGAGGTGGGTGAGGTATGTATACGGGGAGGTGAGAGGTATACGGGGAGGGGAGAGACGTGTAAGGGGAGATGGGTGAGGTATACGAGGAGGTGGGTGAGGTATACGGGGAGGTGAGAGGTATACGGGGAGGGGAGAGACGTGTACGGGGAGGTGGGTGAGGTATACGGGGAGGTGAGAGGTATACAGGGAGGTGAGAGACGTGTACGGGGAGGTGGGTGAGGTATACGGGAAGGTGGGTGAGGGATACGAGGAGGCGAGGGAGCTGTACGAGGAGCTACAAAGAAAAATTTGATTGATGAGTGAATCTCAAGGATGGATACAGCTGTTATTTTGTGAGCGTTGTGGGAGGGTGTGTGTGCCTAAACATCCATACGACAATGAAAACCTACCCTTCGTGCTAAAATCCCGTAGCTCAGTCGGTAGAGCGCTGGACTCCGCGTGGTGAGAGCACTCGTTCCCGGTTACAACAGTCCGGGTTCGAAGCGCGACGGGCGCTTGGCGTTTATGGGCCTCATGACAGGATATGGTTGCGGTTGGTGGCAGGCCGTGGCCAGGCGAAGTCAGTGAGGGGACTGACCGTGCGCGGCTATATGTGCGCAAGTTAAACTTTGTACTCTAAATTCTGCCATAGAACTGGAATTGCGCGATCGGAGGATAGAGGGTAGGGTCAACACAACAAGCTTCGCTTAGCGGGGGCTTGTCCTTGTGAATCCTTCCATTCAAAAGGTTCGGAGTAAATTTATAAAAAAAAAAAACAGTTACATTCCAAGACCAGTCAAAGGACATACATTTATTGCACAACTGAAATAAACGTGCAATTTTTGTTGCACAGCTAACTTTATCGTATGAACGCATAACAAACACAATGGAGCCTGGAGGCTCTGCTAGAACAGTAGCGTGAGCTGATGAGTTGAAATTCAAGTAGGCCATTGAGTCGACATCATTATTCACGTCGGTTCACAATTTGGGGTCCACACAACCGGGGCACGAACGACACGAAGAGCCAGCTTACCTCCATGCATCGGCAATCAGGACAAGTTAGCTTTCGAGTTATTTTTTAATAACTTCAGCTGCTTGAGGTGTAAATTAAATGTGATACCTAAGCATATAAAGATCTAAATTCAACTTATTACCAGCTTAAATTATGACGAAAACGAAACGAACCTAGCTCTTAGAACGAACCTAGCCCAAATATAAACTACCGCAACCGAAAGCTCTCTTACATTTCTACAAGTGATCACCCTTCTGTAAAATGGCTTCCATTCAGGAAGAACCCATCGGGACCACCATAACATCACCATCGAAGCGAAGCATCGCCAATATCAGCACGGACTCGTCCAGTATCCAGGGTCAGGCGGCAGCAGCGCCGACGGGCGCTCGGCGCTCGTTCGGGCCTCATCACGGACCACTCACACCCGACATCAGAGGGGGCGGTGACGGCGGCGGGGCAGACGTCAAACCGGGGCCGTCCTTCTCTGGGCGGGAGTCGCTCGGCGGCCGGTCCCGCAGCCGCAGCCTGCGTCCCAGCCAGACATCTCAGTCGCGAGCGCCCAGCAGCTCCCTGCTCGATCCGTCCGGTGTGTCATGGGGGTCAAACGCGAGCGGCGGCGGCCGCAGGGTCACCACACACCCCCGCGGGCAGCCATCATCTGACCCTGCCGGGCCTCGACTTTGGCCAGCGGCGGGTGAGTCGGTACCGGCGGCACCGGCTCGCCGGCCGGCAGGGTCGCACCGCCTCCCGCGAACAGTACCAGAACGCGGTGGCCGTGACGCACGCGGTGGCGCACTGGCGGTGGCGCGCGCAGCCGCACCGTCACCTGACCACGGGCAGTGAGCCGGACCGCGACCTGCCCGAGAGCATGCAGCCGGAACTGCCGGCGCACAGCCGCTGGCTCTGGAACGCCAAGAACGGCGACCTCTTCTGGCAGACGGACGACGATAACCCGGTGGAGCTCTTCTACCAAACGTCGCTCGGAGAGGAGGCTATCAAAAAGCAGATCGGCCTCTTCGGGAAGAGGTACAAACAATACCCGAACCCGGCAACCATGGCTGTCCCCGAGCCAGGACGACACCTCTTCGCTCGCGCCGTCTCCAAGGTAGTGGATCGCGACGGTCACACGATCGAGGGTAAGGTCGAGATTGATGATGTCAAGGCCGTGGCCGAGGCGGCCGTGGGTCAGTTCTTTCCGACAGCGTTCGGCCGACGCAGATTCTCAGAGATGCCGAACGTCAACCACTTCCTATTGAGCATCATCGAGTACTTCCACCACTACTTCAAGGAGAGAAAGCTGAGCGAGATGGCGCAGCAGCACAACTGTCTCGTGTACGACGAGGCCGGCGTGGCGGAGCGGCGCGTGCGCATGAAGGACTGCCTGCTGGAGGCCTCCCGGTGTTACGCCATCTTCATCCTGGGCCGCGGCATGCCGTTCCACCACACCAATGAGGGTGCGTTCGGCACCATCTCGGCCTCCTCGGTGGACCGCCAGTTCTGGGAGGCGCTCTACGCCTTCACCATCCAGGTGGTGTGGATCACCTTCGGCCGGCCCAACTGCACCGTCATGCTGCGGGAGATGGGCCGCATCTTCCGCACCCTGTACCTGGACCCGGCGCGCCGCGAGGCCGAACGGTCCACCGGCAAGTACCAGAACGCGGCGCGCCGACGCGACGCGCTGCTCAGCCAGATGCCCAACAAACTGAGCGCCAGGGACCACCCGAAGGGCAAGCACCGCTCCAAGGCCGACGAGCTGGCGTCGCACAACTACATCGCCATGTGCGTGGCGATGGCCCGCGTGTACGGCGTCTACGACTGCCCGCCGATGCCGCCCAAACCTATCTACAGCCTGCTGAAGAACCGGTCGGCGTTCGTGGACGCCCTCCTAGCCGAGGATCCCCACCGGCACCCCAACACGACCCACGTCGTGGAGCGAACCTCGATCGGCATTCTCGGTCACCCACGGAGCGAATTTGACGACAACCTGGACCCGATCGACCTGAAGCGCGAGGACAAATTCCGACAGCTCAAGTTCCTCGGTCCGATCACTGAACGTGCCGACAAGACTCGGATCGCCTCTGTGACGCCGTACTTGTTGCTGCCCACCCTGCCGTCTGCCTCTGACCTCGAGAAGTACACCTAGAGGGAGGGTCAAACTATACAGGGCACACAGACACAGGAAGCCGACCACCGCAACTCAGGACGGAGCCAACAAAAGCTAACAGCACCGAGAGTGGGAACGGAGCTGGGATGACCAACACGGGTGAAGAACAGAGATCATCAGGGGAAGCAGAATGACACCTTTGGAGAGAGCAGGATATACGGAAGGGCTGCAGAGGTGACAATAATCCAATTCACCACTTCTTACGAGATCGTGGGATTGGTTAGCTACTGCAACATCCTACCAACGGGGTACTTCCAGCGGTATCGATACATTCACGTTTAAAAGCAGCATGCTGGAAGAAAGGATCATGCGCCGATAGGGCGAACAAACGAAAAATATCGAAGTAAAATAAAGCACGTTAGCCGAAGGGAGATCCGCGGCCGGCGACAGATCCTCTATTAGGCGGTTTGATACGGATAGCAAATTACGAACGGCAAGTGTTGACGCTGTGGTCAGTTACTTAAAAAGTGTCCTGTAAGCTAGCCTGAATGGAAGGCACTACATACTTGCAATTAGACGACGGAACACAAGCTGAACAAATTAGGTATGATGGAATTCATCGGGAAGATAAGCACACAATGTATTCTTCTTCGTTGACGAAAACCATAGCACTCTTAAATAAATAGTTCATCAGCATACTCTAAACTATCAGCTATTAAATGTGGTTTTTGTTTAAATTCGTTATAGAAATTGGACAGGAACTTTGAATGTCCCGACTCGACCCGAGTTAGCAAGATCAAGAGGCATCATTGTTTGTTGTCTACTTTAGGCATCATTACATACTTTAGGCATCATTGTTTGTTGTCTACTTTACCGTTCTATAAGACCACTAAGTATACAAGATCACCAATGTGGCATTGGGCAGACTGTGCAACGTGGAACCTCCAAATGAATAAAAAAAAAAAAATGATAGCCCTTTCGGTCCAATGAGACCATTTCAGACTTCAGAGCCGGGATGATAGGATGTAGGGGGAGACATTGGTCTGGGCAGGCACCCTAGTGAGTCGCCGGGGCTGAGCCCGTCCAGAGGACAGGCCACCCAGCCCCAAGGCACTCACTGCACCCGGCTACGGGGTGCGCTCCCTCGGGAGCAGCGGTGCCGCTCCAAGGGCAGCCTGCATGAGATAAAGTTGCCTGTCCAGCCCGGAGGGGGTTGTGGCGTGGAGGAGAAGGATTTCAGTATCCTGAGGATAGAAGCACGGAACGGTGATTCAGTGCATTCCAGCCAATACCTACTTTTTAAATTCACCGTGAATTTACCCCCATCCCCTGTCAAAGTACCCATAGTACCCGCCTGTAACTGGTCACGGTGGTCGCGGTGGTTTACAGTGACACCTGTCGGCGAGAGCTGCATACCTTTGACGTACAGATGTCGCTAGTTCCCGGCTGCCAATTCAGCCTTGTGAAAATTAACAATAACTAGATGGCATGTTTTGCGCTATAACTGTGCGTTTTGATAGATGCGTTTGAGGGGGCATTAGTTTGGGTGTGGGAACTTTTGATTTTTATTTGTCTTATTTTGTCGGAGTTGGATATTTGTTTGAACGGCATGGTATGCTGGTGCTGGTTGCGGGTTGTTAGAGCCTTTCTCATGGTTTGCCTTTATCGAACTCAAACCCACCCTACCCTACCCTAACATACACATAACCTACCTTACTGATAACCTACACATAGTTATCCTTCTCATACTCGATTAAAGTAACGTACCAAATTTGAGCGCAATCGGCCCAGCCGTTCTTTAGTTATAAAACTGGCCCACTGCACGTGCGCACGCGCTAGCTGAGACTCCAGATGACTTTTGCCAGCAACCTTTCTAAATTGTCCCCAACAGTGAAAAAAAAATTGAGCGAAATCGGCCCAGCCGTTCTTGAGATGTAGAAGCGGACCCCTCACGTGCGCACGTGCAATCGATCCACCCTACCTGTCACAAATGACCATACATCGCCAGGTGAGTGCCCCCTCCACCCACAGTCCAAGTTTCAGCGCAATCGGCCCAGTAGTAGCTGAGTTATTCCTAGTACAACAATATGCTGTTTACTGGTAGGCGCTTATTTGCAGTGTTTGGAATTCCCCTTTGCGGGCGGTGCATTGCAGCCCATGCTTTGATAGCTATTGTGAAAAGTGGAATGACCTGACGGCCATAAGCCATCGATCGGATTTTGTCGAAAAATACCTGTAACGTTAACAAAACACGGTGGTATGTTTGAGTCATTTTCACAAAAGTTTATTGACTTTTCGATAATATTTTGGGTGGATATTGGTCAGAAAAGAATGCTCTTTCCGAATATGTAGGTTTCATAACGATTGATCGTCGTTTTCAATACGTTTTGATGTTGTAAAGGACATCGCGCTCCGCGTGAATCAAATTTTCAAATTAATTTTTCATTATTAAGGAAATGGTACGGATCGTCACTTTTTATTTGCTTTCCTCTGATTACACGTACATTTATCTGCAAAATGATACATCACCGATTTCATTCCGTCAAGCCGTTTTCCAGCGGCATCGGTTTTCTTCCCACAATGCACGAAATCGGTCATTTTTTCACAACTGGGGGTGCTGTCTTGCACGTGGCGCGTGCTATACTATGAAACCAAGTCAATACGCTAGGCCCATCTCTCCTCTATCCAGTGGTGGCAACCCCACCTCGCTACGGCAATCTGTCGCCGAGTTTTGGGCCCGGGAAGTGGGCGCCGCAGGCCGGTTTTCGCCCGATCTTCGATTTGACCGTTTCCCGTGTTAACCCTATGGCGCACGCGAGCGCGTGCTGACGGCGCACCCCTGGCCCGATCACGCCCAAATTTTCATACAAAGGCCGCCCACGCCCACAGATTCGACATGCCAAATTTCACGCCGATACGCGGCGCCTTTCAGGCGCAATAAGACACATAAGTCCTGACGGACGCGGGCACGGATGGACGGACATGTTATAATTCATAATATAGATCACCAACGGAAACGCTAAACTGAGCGCCGCAGGAAACATTATCGGCTACGATTGTCGATACAACCAATCCACAGCGCCATTTCACACATGACATCCATGAATCCACTTCACGCTACCACGCTTCCAGCATGGTGTATAGAGAACGACCTCGGGCAACCGCCACGCAAACGTTAGATCTAGATGGGCAACAGCAAAAAAAAAAGGAACAAGAGAACTGGTCTGGCAGGGCGAAAAGTCAAACATTCAAGTGGCAGCTGATGACAACCATCATTCAACTTTCATTAGACACGGTAAGAAGCCACGTAAGTTAAAGTGACACTAGCAATAGGTACATAATTTCCTGAAATGAGCTGACATGAACATTGAACAATAATGATTGCCCAGTGTCCACGCATTTGACACACTTACCCACACTTACCTTCCTGCTTCGTGCTGAAAAAATTCGAACAAGTTCTTTCAACCATTGAGCCGTCCCGCGAAAACTCAGCTTTTCTCACACCGACCCACATCAACATCGACGGGACCCAAACGTGACCCAAGGTTCAGCGGCCTTGAGTTCAGCTGTCAGCTTTTTGTCTACGCGCGTTTTAGGTACTAGACAACTTTTGATTTTCATTCGCTAAACTTGGTCTTCTTACGTCATTTTATGAGAACCAATGAGGTGCCACGCATAGAAATAAAGACTTCATATCTAAGGTATTTATTGTTTAGTAGCTATAGGCTATAAAGACTTAGATACGATATTTTATCCCTCGCCGGTCGAAGGGGCGGGGGCGGGTGCCGACTGCCATCCCCATAGTTTTTTTTTGCGATAGCTCCGAACACGCCGGCGATAGAGAGCTGAAACTTGGTATAGGTACATACGGTACCTGACCGTTGATCCAAGCCAGATCTTATGACACCAACCGTATTTTCAGGTCAGGTCAGATCGTACTGACCAGGCCCTCAGTGCCAGAGAAACTTTCAAAGGGATATGAAAGGCTTACGGGACGGAGTATCCTCCTGAGGTCGAGCAATTGCATATAGGTATTGGATTTTTCCTAAAGGTCAGGTGACGTCAAGCCGGTCACGCGACCTCACCATTATAAGTCAATGGGAAAAATGAAAACTGCTATTTTGGTGCCTTGAACGATCTTAAACTACCTCAAGCACACGGAATCGTGATTTTATGCATTCCTTGCAAGGCCTGATTTCACTATGGCATTGTTGACCTTGCGTGAGTGACGTCATTCATGATGTCCCTGGGGTCATAAGAGCTTTCGTCAATAACTCCCGATCAAATGGAGCTAGCGAGTCGCGAAAGCCACCAATGGACTACTGAAGACCTGCCGAATCAAATGATATGCAATATGACCTCCTTCGACCAGCTTTGTGACCTTGAGGCTGTGAACTGACCTTGACCCAAAGTCAACATCTAAGTTGACCTCATCCGAATAAAAAAATACCATTCGTCGCGCCTGAGCGAGGCAAACACGATGACGCAAAAATCACGGCTCTGCGGCCGTTTTTTGCGAAGTTATTGAACCAAAACCGAACCCGTGCCATACGCCACTTGACCTGATCTCAGAGGTCACCGCCCACCGGTTGACCTGAGACCTTACAATCGGGTATCAGTCGCTGCGTCTCGTAACGGCGCACACGCTCAGGGCTGGAGAAACCGGGGGGACCGGGGGGGACCGTCCCCCCCGGGCCCCATTAATTCCATTTCCTGGGGGGGACCTGGGGGGGACCTAATATATAACGAAAGTGGGCCCTTCTGACTTATGTTTAAAAAAAGTAATCAGCCATTTTGGCCTGTATTAGTGTTTTAAATCTCACATTCCAAGCATCGGAGCCCTATAGGTATCAGTGAGTAGATCTCAATGAGTCGTACTCCAGCACAAGCTAGTGGGCCCTTAATGGTTCCGTGATGACCGTGAACCATCAGAGAGCCATGGCCCCTCATTGAGTCCATGTGGTCCAGGTCCAGTAGTGGACCTGTTGAAAATTTGACAGAAAGGTGTTTGCTAGGCATACTTTCCTTTTACATACCTCCTATGTACAGCAACGCATGAATAACAGTGGCGGATCCTGGGGGGGGGGGGGGCACGGGGTCATGACCCCCCAAATGGTCTGAGAGGGTCAGTTGACCCCTCCAAAAGCCGAAGATCTAAATGCGTTATAGACGCCGTCTTGCATGCTCAAAGTCACCTGTCAAACACCTTTCTTTTTGTCTGGATCGTGTTGCGTGAAAAGGGGTATTGAAGGCCAGAATCGTACTCGTTTTTGTCTCAACCGTGCGAGCACCAGGGGATGATACAGGAAAACTCCAAGGGATGGTCATGAATTTAATTTGTGGTGCCCCTTCCTATACCCAAATTTAAAAACTCAACGGATTTCGGCCACTTAATTTTGGTGATGCCGTGTTTCCATTTT